TCAAGGTATTGATTGGAGATCTTTCTTCTTTTTCAGTGTAGGCATTTATAGGTTTAAATTCCCCTCTGAGCCCTTCCTTGACTGCATCTCATGGATTTGATACGTTGTGTTTTAATTTTAATTCATCTCTAAGAATTTTCTAATTTCCCTGTGACTTTATCTTTGACCTACACTTTTTTTTAAGAGTATGTTGTTTCCTTTCCACATATTTGTAAATTTTCTAGTTCCTTCTGTTATTGATGTCTAGCTTCATTCCATTTTGGTTCGAAAAGACCCTTTTTATGATTTCAGTCTTATTAAATTCATCGAGGCTTGTTTTGTGTCCTCACTTGTGGTTTGTCCTGGAGAATGTCTCATGTGCCCTTGGGAAGAATGTACATTGTGCTGTTGTTGGGTGGAGTGTTCTGTGTGTGTTTGTTGTGACTAGTTGGTCTATCAGTGTTGTTCAAGTCCTCTTCTTCCTTATTGATCTTTTGTCTAGATGTTCTGTCTGTTATTGGAAATGGGGTATTAAAGTTTCCAACTATTATTGTAGAACTATCTACTTCTCACTTCAAGTCTGTCAATGTTTGCTTCCTCTATTTTGGGTCTCTTTGGTGTGGTGCATACATGTCTATAATTCTTATATCTGCTTGATGAATTGAGCCTTTCATCAATATCTAATGTCCTTCTCTTGTGCATTTTTGCATTTGGTATAATATGGATGAAGAGGTCCTTCGTAAATATTGTCTGTCAGTTTTTAGGGTCTTAGTGTATTAATGGGGACATAGGCATTCTCACAAAATAAGTTTATTATAGAGAAAGTCAGCTGTAAGTAATGGCTGGTTCATCATACTACGTCAACAATTTGAAACATTAGAGACATAAGGTGAACGGCATTCTTTGCTGTCAGCTCTGCTTTCTGGTACCCATTGATGTACATGCCAATTCCATGATCTCTTGAAGCTTGGAGAGGGAGAGGGACTCAAAGTGTCAAGGTTTTAAAACCACCTTCTGAGGAGATGTATCAGAGGCCACCTAGGTAAGGATGTGTGTCAGTAAGAGAAGGAGAGGGGTGCGAGGGGAGAGGTTTTCCCGTCCAAAGCAGGAATCCTGTTTGTGGCTTCTATTTTTTTTTGTGAACATTTTTATTATTTTTAACTGCTTAGCTCTTAACTATTATTTTCAACCATTTTTTCATTCATTTTGTTGTGAAAAATTTCAAACATAGCAAAAAGTAGAAAGAATTAACCAGTGAGAATCCACACGTCCACTCCTAGATTCTACAGGGAATGCTGAGCTTCACTCGCTTCCTCACATACCTGCCCGTCAAACACGCTGTAGCCACACTTCTTACTTTTTGAAGAATTTCAAAGTAAGTTACAAGAAACAGCACACTTCACTCAAACTCTTCAGGAGGCATATCATTAACTAGAGTTCAATATTTATGTCTCAGGATGTCCTCTCCTGCCCCACTCCAGTCAATTTCACCCCAACCCTCCAGAAGCAACCATAGTTCTGATGTTTTAAACTCATAATTTGGTTCAGCTTGTCTTGGAACTTCATGTAAATGGAATCATGCAGCAGGGACTCCTGCCTGGCTTCTTTTGGCAGCACAGTGTCTTCGAGATTCATTCATGCTCTTGCATGTGTAGGTCATGTGTCTTTTTATTGCTGACTTGTTTTCCATCGTCTGACTATATCGTGGTTTCTTTATCCGTTCCCCTGCTGATGGACATGGGGGTTGATGCCAGTTTTTGTCTGTTATGAAGACAGTGGAATAAGTGTGCCTTCTCTTCAAGCCGTCAGCACCCAGGAGCTGGAACAGTCACCAGGTGCCCGTGATGTGGCCGGGTAGCTCTGCCTTTTAGGGAACTCTTCCTTCTGTTGAGCTGAAATCCGCCTCCTGTCATCCTGGCTCCTTGGTCCAGCCTTCGGGGCAACATACAATGAAGCTCTTCCACCGAAAGCCCTTCAGAAACTGTCAGGCAGCTCTGGGTGGCTCAGGCCCTGCCTCTGCCTCCACCGATCATGCCTCATTGGCACAGTTTCCAGGACCCCAGAGCCCTGGATTAAGATCCTCAGTTGAGACCATCGGGAAGGAACGCCCCCTTTAGAGTCAACAGCCAGGGCCACCACGTTGCCCAGAGGGTCTCCCCGACATCCCGAGGGGTGTGACTGTCCCGGGACAACCACCCTAGAACAGGAGCTCCATGCTGCCATCGGCTTGTCCCGGAGGGAACTGCAAGGAGAGACAGCAGTGGGGAGAATCACAGAGAACAGCACTAGGAGCAGAGAGATTTATTTTTTATCAATCACTGAGCTCTCATGGATACGAAAACTAGGGAGGACATTCCGGCTCCTATGGAGTGTGGGTCCATCATTGATTCCATAATGAGATGTGCGGGCAGGATCTTGACAATTAGACAAAGAGAAAGGCTTTCAGATCAATAGCAGAGAATTGATTTTCCAGATGATTTGTCAGCAGCAGGAAGGGGTGCCGCAGGGCACAGATCTGCAGACCGGGGCGGGGGGCAGGAGGGGAACTGGCAGCACTCAGAAGACTGGCAGGAGGGGGCCACACACACAGCAGGCTGGCAGTTCACGGGTGTGCACACGGCAGGCCGGCAGCTCACAGGTGTGCACCTGGCTGACTTGCAGCTCACAGGCACACAGCAGGCCACTTGGCAGGGGCTGGGCATGCATGAGGCTGGGCTGCAAAGGGAGGCCTGGCCACAGGCCGCTGGGCAGCCTAGGGACAGGCAGCCGCAGGCTGGCTGGCAGGAGGTGGCAGAGCTGCGTATGGGCCGGCACAGCAGAGACACGCAGGTGGCCGGGTGGCCACAGGAGCTCCCGAAGCTTTGGGGAGAGCAGCAGGTGGCAGGGCAAGCCGGTTGGCAGCCCAAGGAGCAACTGGTGTGGCACATGGTGGTGTGGAGCTGGGTTAGGGTCAGGGTGGAGGACGGGGCTAGGCTTCAGCCTCCTTCCCCGGGTGGCCTTTATGCCTGTGGGCTATGGGTGTACTGGCAACGAGCCACACGGGTGCCTTCCTTGTGGTTACCTGGTTGTTTTCCTCCTCTTCCTCTCTGTGGGTCTCTTCCTGCAGTTTGCAGTTCAAGTGACCCAGTTCAGGAAACTCCTCCTCAGCTGGAGACTCACTGGGACTCAGCAACCATGTGATTTCTGGAGTCAGAGCCTCGGATGGTGAAGGGCCCTCAGTTGGGGACAGGGGCTCCACATCATGATTTTCCAGGTCCTCCCCAATTTTGAATACCCTGTCCACTGTCTGCACAAGCACAGTCATGGTCGCTGCACCAGGGTCCCATATTTTGCTTTGGAAACTCAGTCACCCATAAGGTCTTCCCAACTGATGAGAGTAAGTTGTTGTTTCCTCACTGGGGCGTGCAGGGACCACGTTATTGCAACAATAACAATAATAGCTAAGTTCCAGCTTTGTGCCAGGCCCTGTATGAGCATTTTATGTAGACGATCTCATAACTGATTAATTACCAATCCTGCCACCATTCAAGGGGTCAGTGATACCCCACTGGTACAGATGTGCACTTAGGAAGATCTAGAAGGAGTCCATGATGTGGGCACTTTCTCATCACTGCAGATGGGGAAGCGGCATTTGAAGCTGCTTGGTTTCACTCTGGGATCCATGGTTTTTACCATTCTGCCAAATTATGTTGGGGCTTTAGGGGTTTTCTGAGATTCTTGGATCTGTAAATTGAAATTTTTTGTTTAAATGAAATTTGGGAATTTTGTCCATTATTTCTTCAAAACATCCTTATGCATCAGTGTCATTCTCTTCTCCTTCTTGGGTTGAAATTACTCATATGTTAGACTTCCTGATATTGTCTCATAGGCCCTCTTCCTTTTTCTTAAGTCCTTTTCCCTCTTCTTCAGATTGGATAATTTCTACTGACTTGTCTTCAAGTTCACTGGCTCTTTCTTCTTCTGTCAGCTCAGGATTGCAATGCCTGGTCCTCAGGCTGCAGGATCTGAGTCTGTCCACCTGCCCCTGCACCCTCGCACCCCACATGGTGGGAGTCCCACTGCTCTTGGGACATGCTTCTGCAACAGTGTCCTCCCCGCCGTGGCTGCCTCTGCCTGGAAAAACACCCCCTGACCCCTCCACATCCCCCACTGCCAGCTCAGCATGGCCTCCTCACGGAGGCCTCCAGACCACCCACCAGCACCCCTGTTACTCTCTATCCTCTGAACCTGCTTTCCTTTCCTGGACACAGCCCTCTCTGGAATTATTTCATGCATGAATTTCTTCATTCACTCATTTGTTCATTGCCCTGGAAGGCTCAGGAGGCCAAGACATCTCTATGGCTAGCACACAGTATGTATTTGCTGCATGAACAAATCAATTCTTGTATAGATTGCCATAAGGCAGGAGTTGGCAAACTTTCCGTAAAGGGCAGATAGTAAGTGTTTCAGGCCTGGAAATTCCTGTGGTCTCTTTCGTCACTACTCAGCACTGTGGTGCAAAAGCAGCCCTAGACAGCGCGTAAACGCCTTGGCATGGCTGTGTCCAATACAACTTTATTTACAAACAGACAGCAGGTCAGATTCGTCCCACAGACTTCAGTTTTTGAGCCCTGCTTTAATGTGTCCTGTGCAGAATTAGAGCTCAAAATACATTATCGCCTCAAAATCTCCGTTGATGGCACGGGACAAACAGGAATGAAAGAACACAGTACTCTGAGGGGGCCTGGGGGCTGTGTGCACGATGATGGCCTGGAGAAAGCCCAGGTGAGGTCAAACCAGAACATCCCGTTCACAGAAGGAGAAACTGGCCTAAAGCCAAACTTGTTTATGGTGGAGCCTAACACAGGGACGTGCGTCTCCAGATAAGAAGATGTGGGGGAACGTGGTGGAAACAGCCGGGAGGAAGTCAACAGTGTGCTCTGTGTTGTCAGGACGCCCACAGTCGGGTATAAAGGCCGCCCAGGGAAGGAGCCTGCAGACACCACCACCTCCACCCCAACACCGGCCCTCCCCACGCCACCATGTGTGACACCGGCTGCTCCTCGGGCTGCCAGCCGGCCTGCTCTGTGCCTAGCCCTTGCCAGGCGTCCTGCTATGTGCCTGTGAGCTGCAAGCCAGCCGTGTGCACACCCGTGAGCTGCCAGCCTGCCGTGTGCACGCCCTTGAACTGCCAGTCAGCCGTGTGCACGCCCGTCAGCTGCCAGTCTGCTGTGTGCACACCTGTGAGCTGCCAGCCCGCTGTGTGTGTGGCCCCCTCCTGCCAGTCCTTCGTGTGCGTGCCTGTGAGGTACAAGCAAGTTGTCTGCGTGGCCTCCTCCTGCCAGCCCTCCGGGTTCTGCCAGCCCTCCTGCCCCACCATGGTCTGCAGACCCATCTCCTGTAGCTCCCCTTGCTGCTATTGACCATGCGTCCTTTGTTCAGCTGCGTCAGTGCAGGTGGGTCCACATCTGTACTCCTCCCAGGAGGAGTCCTCAGTAGCCTTGCGGGTTCTGCACATGGCAGATGAAAAGCATGCTCAACGATCCCTCTGAACTCTGATCTGGATCCCTCCATGACCCTGCACATCCTCTCAGGGAAGCCCTGGTGCCCAGGGTCCTTCTCTGTCTCCAGCAGGAAACCAAACCCCATGTGAGCCAAATAAATCGTGCGATCCCAATGCAGCTTGTCCCTCCACTTTATCTTCACTTACTTTTGAAGTTTCCTTGTAGGTGTTTACCAATCGTAAGCACAGCAGCACCTCCTCAAAGAGCCCTCTTCCTGATGGCTCAGCTGAAGGTGGCCCTTGGTGGGTGAAGAGGGTGAGGAAGGTGCTGTCCCTACTTTGCCCACCTGAGACTCGCATTGTGGATGGGCAAGGAAAGAGGAAAATATTCCCTCCCCAGAATGGGGGATCGGAATCAAGCCTGGGCCCTGGGACCCATGCGGAAACCTAGAGGATTACTACTACAGGGAGGGTAGGAAGCTATCACACAATCCCACCACAAATACAGGGTAGAGTCTGGCAATCCAGGGAGGAGTGTCAGGAAGTGAGAAGGCCTCGCCCTCCAGGTCCCAGGCACCCAGGGCCTGCTCAAGACTGACACCGGGACAGGACACCAGAGAGCCCTCCTGCCTCCCGACTCAGCCTCCAGCACAGCTGCAACAGCAGCTTCTGTCTCCACCCGGGAAAGGAAGGTGCGTGTTGAGGTCTCCTCCATGCACCAGACATGCAAGGGCAGCTGAAAACTTAGGGCGGAGCAAGAATGCTCTGTCCCCAGCCCAGGCCTTAAGCACAAGCTGCCAGCAGCCCACCACAAGAGGAATGTGAAGTCTTGGGTACTCTGAATGTCGTCACAATAACAACAAAACCCAAACCAAGGTCAACATCTGACCGGGTTGATTCAAACCTCCTCCCACAGACCCTGATGGCCTGACAGAAGACACACCCATTTCCAGGAGGAAACCCTGCTTATGTCCATTTCAGTCAATACGTGATATCTGATATTTGATCAAAACTTGGAAGACATTCAAAAAAGCAAGGAAGTGCCGGCCCCGTGGCTTAGTGGTTAAGTGTGCGCGCTCCGCTACTGGCGGCGCGGGTTCGGATCCTGGGCGCGCACCGACACACCACTTCTCCGGTCATGCTGAGGCCGCGTCCCACATACAGCAACTAGAAGGATGTGCAACTATGACATACAACTATCTACTGGGGCTTCGGGGGAAAAAAAAAAGGAGGAGGATTGGCAGTAGATGTTAGCTCAGAGCCAGTCGTCCTCAGCAAAAAGAGGAGGATTAGCATGGATGTTAGCTCAGGGCTGATCTTCCTCACAAAAATAAATAAATAAATAAATAAACAAAAAAGCAAGGAAAAATCAGTCTATTGTCAAGAGGCAAAGCAATCAACAAGACGGGACTCAGAAATGATCCAGATGATGGAGCTATCAGAGAGAAACTTTAAAATAGCTATGACTAGGGAAATAAGTCAGAGAAAGACCAATACTTTATGATCTCACTCTATGTGGGATCTGAGAAAACACTGAACTCGTAGATACAGATGCCTTGCTTGTGGTTGCCTGGTTGTTTCTCCTCCTCTTCCTCTCTGTGGGTCTCTTCCTGGAGTTTCGGCTTGAAGTGATGCAGTTCAGGAAGCTCCTCCTCAGCTGGAGACTCCCTGGGACTCAGCAGCCCTGTGATTTCTGGAATCAGAGCCTCAGATGGATGGTGAAGGGCCGTCATTTGGGGACGGGTAGCCCACGTCATGATTTTCAAGATCCTCTCCAATTTTAAATACCCTGTCCACTGTCTGCACAAGCACAGTCATACTTGCTGGACACGGGGGGGGGGGACCCCATTTTGATTCAGAAACTCTGGGATCCAGAAGGTTTTCTCAGCTGACGAGAGCCAAGCTATTGTATTCCTCAATGGGGGGATGCCAGGACCATGTTACTACAATAAGAATAATCATAGCAAAGTTCCAGTTTTGACTAGGTGCTGTGCTAAGCTTTATACATGGATCATCTCATAAATGATTATTAGCAACCTTTAGCACTGTTGAAGAGGTCATTGATACCCAGTTTGTGCAGAAGTGCAATTAGGAAGATTTAGAAGGATTTTGAGATGTTTGCACATTCTCATCACTGCAGATGGGGAAGCGGCATTTGAAACTGCTTGGTTTTACCAGGGAATCCGTGGTCTTTACTGTTGTGTCAAATTATGTGGAAGCTTTCGGGATTCAATAGTGACATATCCTGAAGTCCTGAATCAGTCAGGAGGGACAAGAGCAAGGGACAGATAGACGACAATACCAGTCATTTTGGGTGTGTGGAGAGCACGGCTTAGGTGTATGTCCGCTGTGGAGGTCCAGCATCAGACCTCAGAATTGCCCACCCAGTCACACAGCACTAGGTGGCCACAGACAACATCTCTGCAGGTGGAGCCCAGGAGGACCGAATGTGGTGAGAGGGCTGAGCTCCCCATGCTGGAATCCTCTCCCAACCCAAAGGTCCAATCAGCCTGGCCCCTGCAGAGCAAGTTGTGGGAAAGAGTGGAGGCAGCATGGAATTCCAGGATGCCCCTCCCCTGGGAAGGAGGCAGTGGGCTGGAGTGTGGATTCCATGTTCCTCCTCACATTCCCCGGGTCTCTGTTCTCTTTACTTGGCCACAGCATGTTGTTCCATGGTGGGTGCTATTTCATGGGGTGTGGTTCTCTCTCAGGGCAGCACTGCCCCCTCCTCTGAGGCTGTGCCCATGGGACCTTCTGCAGCTGGTTAGGACATGGGGACTCCCCCACAAAGCCCTGTGATGATTAACACATCATAGTAATTAAGTCACTCCAAGAATGAAAACCACTGTGGTCTCAGGGGCTAAAGTGTGGTCAGCACTTAGAAAACTAATGGACCTGATCCAACATGAGATCGCACAGCAGGATGACCTTGAGGCCTGTGGACAAGCCACAAGTCTGTGAGGTCAGCTTTTTCACATGCTCCTCCTTTGGCTCTGACCACAGGTCAAAACTAAGGTGAAATATAATTCGGGGCAGCCACATGTGACCACATGTCCACATATGACCTAGTTACTGAGGACACATTTAAAGTAGTCAGTTGCCTTCAAGTCCTTTCTAGATGAGCAAAAAGGAATTGTTTGTGTTTACCTTCCTGAGGATTCAGATTCCACCCGGGTCCATTTCTTTCTTTTTTTTTTTTTTGAGGAAGATTGGCCCTGAGCTAACATCTGTTGCCACTCTTCCTTTTTTCCTTTTTTCTCCCCAAAGCCCAAGTACATAGTTGTGTGTCATAGTTGTACACCCTTCCAGTGCTCTATGTAGGACATTGCCTCAGCATGGCTTGATGAGTGGTGTATAGGTCCGTGCCCAGGATCCAAACCAGTGAACCCCTGGTCCCTGAAGCGGAGTGCACTAACATAACCACTACGCCACCGGACCGGCCCTCCTAGGTGCATTTCTATTCTTCCCAAGGGGCATCCTTCAGTATTTCTTGTAGTGCAGGTCTGTTGGTGAGGAATCCTCTCAATTTTATTTATTGAAAATGTTTCATTTCACCCTCACTTTTGAAGGATTTTTGAGGGGCTGGGCGCTAGATCTCAGATTCTTGATTGGGAGTTTCATCTTCAGCGTTTACTGATGTGCTCCCACTGCCTCCTGGCCTCCATTGCTTCTGATGAGAAGTCAGCTCTTGTTGTCTTTTTTCTTGTATGTAAAGTGGTTTTTCTCTCACTGCCTTGAGGATTTTTTCCCTTTATTTTTGGTTTTCATCTCTTTAACTGTTTGTCCCCAGAAATGATTTTCTTTATATTTTTCTTCCTTCAGGTTTCTTAAGATTTTTGAATGTAAGTTGGTATTTTTTTTAATCAAGTTTAGGAAAATTGTTCATTATTTCTTCAAAATACTTTTATGTTTCTATATCATTCTCTTCTTTTCTGAGGTTGAACTTACGTATATGTTAGACTCTTTGATATCATCTCATAGGCCCTTTTCATTTCTCTCAATTCTTCTTTCTTTCTATTCTTCAGACTAGAGAATGTCTATTCATGTGTCTTCACATTCACTCACTCTTTATTCTTCCATCTTCAGTGTGCTGTTAGGCCCACCCAGTGGACATTTAATTTCCACTCTTGTGCTTTTCCATTCTAGAATTCTCATTCTTTCACAGTATCCATTTCTCTGCTGAGATTCCCTATCTATTCACTCATGGAAATAATGTTTTCTTTTAATTCTTGGAAGATATTTTCCTTTGATTCTTTAAACATATTTATAATTGCTCTTCAAAAGTCATTGTTTGCCAGGCCAATATCTGGACTGTCTCAGGTTTCATTTCTATTGATTGATTTTTTTCCTTAACTGTGAATTACATTTTCCTATATCATTTTATGTCTAGTGATTTTTGATTGTATATTGGGAATTATGATAGTTCATTTAGAGAGTCTTCATCTATTGTCTTTTCCTGACTGTTGATTTTTATTCTAGCAGAGAGTCTGTTACTAAGTGCTCACCCTGAACTTTTCCAGGCTTGGTTTTACACTGTGTAAGCATGGATCTTAGGGAAGTCCAAAGTGCTTCCTAAACTCTCTACCTTGGTGGGACTCAACTTGCACACTGTATATCCAGGCTATCTGTTCCTGTGTTGGCTAGGCTTTGTCAGGGCAGGTCTACATAGGTCTTACTGTTGGGTGTGGTCCCTCCTCCTCAGGTGTGGCTGTGTGGGGTCTCAGTGGGATGATGGGGGCGTCCACTCTCAGTCCTGTAGCAGCTTCTCAGTGTTCAGCCTCTGGAGGTCTTTTCCTGAGTGCAGATAGCCTGCCCTCCTCCACAGGTTCACTGAGGACTCTCACAGAGACTTCAGCACAGGTCCCTTCTTTCTGATGCCCCAGTCCTCTGATTCTAGGTCCTTCCACTGCCCAACAATGAGCTTTTTCTCCTCAGCAGACCAGGGCCCTCATGTTCTGCTCATACTCCAGCTCCCTGTTCTGCATTAAGGAGGTTGAGCCCAGGCAGAGAGCCGGGCGGATATCGAGCTCATCTAGTACGTTTCTTTTCTCCCAGGAGTCACAGTCTGTGCTGCTTGTGGACCACTGCCTGAAAAGGGTGTCTCATCAATTTCCTTCAGTCGTATAGTTGGTGGGAGGGCTGGTCTGTACCAGTTATTCCATCGAGTATTCCCAGTGTTATTTTCTTCCCCGTATTCAACTCTCATCTGTTCTGAAGGTTCCTGGTCCATGAAGCAGAGGTTGTGGTTTGAGGAGGTCTTCGGGTACCACTCGTCTTTGTCTCAGTGTGGAACCAGAGGAGAGAGGCGGCCACCAGGCAGGTGGAGCTCAATCCAGCTGGTATCGCTGAGAGAACAGTTGGAGGAGTTGGCTAGAGGGTGGCTTCTAGAACAGAGTGAGGGGGACTCTCCCATCAGGGACAGGCCATCTTGGAACACCACAGACCACCCACGGGGTCTGGGTCTGTGTGCTGAGAGTGCCCTGGCCAAGCCGACCACAGCAGGTGCTCCCTGCAGGCAGGCAGACGGGTCCCACGCCTTGTCCCTGGGTTCCCCCTCTGCGGATCCTCTGCCCTCTGCAGGGGGAGTGAGGAATGAGTGGGGGCAGGGCAGGGCCTGGAGTGTAGTGGGTGTCTCCCCATGGAGGAAGACTCAGGAGTGGGGCTCAAACACGTCCTCCAGTGAGTGTGCTTTTGTGCCCGGGTGTGTGTGCACATGTGTGGTGCGTGTACCACGCTGAGCTGTGTGTCAGTGTTTAGGGACCCGTTGTAGAGAAATCTTATAACTCCAGCCCTGGGTCTTGCAACTCAGTAGCTACTTTTTCAGAAACACCATCTTCTGCATTAACTTCTCCAAGCTCCCTCACTGTCAAGGTTGGAGGTGGAGTAAAATTAAAGGGACCTTGAATTCTCGTTAAAATGGTATAGAGGGTTTTCCAACTGCATAATCCAGACACTACAGTCACGGGCACCCGGGAGGGCACAGTGTGCTGGAGAAGACTCTCTCAGCCACCCTCCCTCTGCGCTCTAGGGGACTGTGCTCCCTGCCCTTGGCTTTCCTAAACAGGTGGTGCAAAGATCCACTGCCAGACTAGGCACCCGCTCACCAAGTCCGTAGTGACCCTGTGGTGACATCTGCAGGCCACACAGGTACAGTGGGGCTCCCTTGGACATGTCCAGAGTCAGGCCTTCCATAGCAGCTGACACCTCTCCTGCCACAGCCCCCAGGGGCCCTCACTCACCCCTACACACTTCCCTGGGGCCCGCTGGGTCCTGCCCTGCTCTTTGTGGGGCTGCGTCTCCATGCAAGAGGTCCGCTGGCGGTGTTCATCTCTCTTCTCTAACTGTGAGGCTTCCTCCAGACAAGGATCCAAGGTCACCCCTCGCAGAAGTTCTCTATGACCACACCCTTCAGTCCACACTAGTCCTGTGGTGGAGTGGTCTCTGTCTGCTTCCTGTGCACGCACTAGAGCTCGACTCCAGCTCGAAGCTCCCAGCACAAGCTCTGATTTCCAGGTGTAACAAGAGCTTGAGGGAGGGGCAATTAGTCATAAAGTTGAGAGCCAGGAAAACAACACAATATCTACATCAGAGAACCATGTTCTGGAAGACAGCCTGGAAGAAGCCAAAACAAGGAAGACAACATCGTGCCCTGTGTTGTCCACACACCCACGGCTCGGGTATAAAGGCCGTCCAGGGAAGGAGCCTGCAGACATTACGGCCCTCCTCCTTGACACCAGCCCAGCCCCACGCCACCATGTGTGACACCAGCTGCTCCTCAGGCTGCCAGGCTACCTGCTGCACACCCAGCCCCTGCCAGGTGTCCTGCTGTGTGCCCGTGAGCTGCCAGCCCGCTGTGTGCACACCCGTGAGTTACCAGCCCACTGTGTGCACACCAGTGAGCTGCCTGCCCGCTGTGTGCACACCCGTGAGCTGCCAGCCTGCTGTGTGTGTGGCCCCCTCCTGCTAGTCCTCCGGGTGCTGCTAGCCCTCCTGCCCCACCCTGGTCCGCAGACCCATCTCCTGTAGGTCCCCTTGCTGCTGTTGACCACGAGTCCCTTACTCAGCTGCTCCCAGTGCAGATGGGCCCACACCTGTAACCTTCATGGAAAGAGTCCTTGTTTGGGCTTCAGGTTCTGCAAGTGGCAGATGAAAAGCAGGCTCAACGATCCATCTGAACTCTGATCTGCATCTCTCTGTGACCTGTGCATCCCCTCAGGGAAGCCCTGGTTCCCAGGTTCCTTGTCTGTCTCCAGCAGGAACCAAACCCCATGTGAGCCAAATAAATGGTGCTTTCCAATGGATCTTATCCCTCTATTTTATCTTCTTTTTTTTTAAAAGTCCTTTCCTTGTAGGTGTTTACAAATCACAAGCACAGCAGCCCCTCAAGGAGCCCTCTTCCCGATGCCTCAGCTGAAGGTGGGGCCCTGGGTGGGTGGAGGGGGTGGGGAGGTGCTGTCCTCATGTTGACCAACTGAGACTCACATTGTGGATGGGGAAGGGCAGAGGGAAAATGTTCCCTCCCCCTGAGTGGGGGACGGGAAACAGGCCCGGGCCCCGGGTCCCACGAGGTACCTTGAAAGATTACTATAGTAGGAAGGGCAGGAAATTCTCACACTGTCCCACCACAAATACAAAGCAGAATCTGACCAACACAGGGAAGAGCGTCAGGGAAGTGGGAAACTCTCACCTTCCAGGTCCCAGGCACCCAGCGCCTCCTCAATACTGACGCTGGGCTGGGACTCCAGAGATCCCTCCTGCCTCCGGACGCACCTGGCCAGAACAGCTGCATGAGCAGGATCAGTCTCCACCAAGGAAAGGGCGACAGGTGTCGAGGCCCCCTCCACGTGCCAGGCTCTCAGCGGGAACTGAAAACTTAGGGTGGAGCAAGAATGCTGTGTCCCCAGCCTTCGCCCTAAGTACAAACTGCTGGCAGCCCACGGAAGAATCTGAAGTCTTCCGTATCCTGAAGGTCATCACAGGAACGACAAACCCAAACCAAGGTCAACATGTAAGCAGGTTGATTCAAACCCCCCCCCCCACACTTGAGGACCTGACAGAAGGAGAGACACACGTATTTCCAGGAGGAAACAGTGTTCACGTCCATTTCAATTAATACATGATATCTGATATTCAGTCAAAAATAGAAGACATTCAACAAAGCAGGGAAAAATCAGTCCATTGTCAAGAGACAAAGCAATCAACAAAACTGGACTCAGAAATGACCCAGAAGTTGGAGCTATCAGAGAGAAAGTTTAAAATAACTATGACTAGGGAAACAAATCAGAGAAAGACAAATACTATATGATCTCACGTATATGTCTAACGTAAAAACTAAAAAAAAAACTGGACTCATGGCTACAGATGCCTTCCTCGTGGATGCCTGGTTGTTTTCCTCCTTGCCTCTCTGTGTGTCTCTTCCTGGAGTTGCCAGTTCAAGTGACACAGTTCAGGAAACTCATCCTCAGCTGGAGATTCAGTGGGACTCAGCGGCTGGGTGATTTCTGGGGTCTGAGCCAAGAATGGATGGTTAAGGGCCGTCAGTTGGGGACAGGGGCCTCCATGTTGTGATTTTCAAGTTTAAATACCCTGCCCTCTGTCTGCTCAAGCACAGTTATACTCGCGGGACTGGGGGTCCCCCATTTTGATTTGGAAACTCAGTGATCCAGAAGGTCTTCCCAGTTGAGGAGAGCCACGGGGTTGAGCTCCTCACTGGCAACTGCAGGGACTGCATAATTGCAATAATAACAGTAAGAACCAAGTGCCAGCTTTGTGCCAGGTGCTGTATAAGCATTTTATATGGACGATCTCATAATTTATTAGTCACCGTACTTTATCAGCTCTCACGGGTAGGTGAGACCCCTTTTTGTACAGATACACAATTAGGAAGATTTAGAAGGATTTGGAGATGTGTGCATGTTCTCATCATGCAGCTGGGGAAGCAGCATTTGAAGGTGCTTGGTTTCACTAGGGAATCCATGGTCTTTACCATTGGGCTAAATTGTGTGGGGGCTTTTGGGTTTCAGTAGTGACATATTCTGAAGTTCTGAATCAGGACAGACAAGAGCAAAGGGCAGACAGATGACAATACCAGTCATTTTGGGTCCGTGGAGAGCACGGCTTAGGTGTATGACCACTGTGGAGGCCAGCATCACACCCCAGAATTGCCCATCTTGTCAGGCAGCACAAGTGGCTGCAGACAACCCCGTGCAGGTGGAGCCCAGGAGGACTGAATGTGGTGGGAGGGGCTGAGCTCCCCACGCTGGATTCCTCCCCCAGCCCAAGGGTCCGATCAGCCTGGCCTCTGCAGGACAGCTTGTGGGAGAGAGTGGAGACAGCATGGAATTCCATGATGCCCCTCCACAGGGTGGGAGGCAGCGGGGTGGAGTGTGGATTCCATGTTCCTCCTCACGTTCCCCAGCTCTCTGTTCTCTTTCCATGTGGGACACAGCACGTTTTCTGTTGTAGGTGCTGTGTCACAGGGAGTGGCCGTCTCTCAGGGCAGCGCTGCTCCCTCCTCTGAGGTTGGCTCTTTCACACGTTCTTCCTTTGACTGTGACCACAGTTGAAAATCACACTTAAAACGAAGAGAATTTGGAGCAGCCATGCATGACCTCATGTCCAAATATGACCTAGTTACTGAGGACACATTGAAAACAGTCAGTTGCCTTCACGTCCTTTACTAGATGAGGGAAAACGAGTCTTTTCTGTCTACCTTCTGGAAGATTCATGCTCCACCCGGGCGCATTTCTATTCTACCCAGGGGGCATCCTTCTGTATTCTAGTAGTGCAGGTCTGCTGGTGAGGAATCCTCTCAGCTTCTGTTTATTGAAAATGTTTCATTTCACCCTCACTTTTGAAGGAATTTTTTTTGGGCTAGGGGGCTAGATCTGGGAATCTTGATTGGCAATGTCGTCTTCAGCCTTTCCTGATGTCCTCCCACTGCCTCCTGGCCTCCGTTGCTTCTGATGAGAGGTGAGCTCTTATTATCCTTTTCTTTGTATGTAAAGTGGTTTTTTCTGTGACTGCTTTGAAGATATTTCTCTTAATTTTTGGTTTTCATCTTTTTGACTAGTATGTGCCCATATGTTTTTCTTTGTATTTATCTTGCTTTGGGTTTTATGGAATCTTGGATCTGTAAGTTGGTATTTTTTTTTTTAATCAAGTTCAGGAAAATTGTTCATTATTTCGGCAAATCACTTTTTTTTGGTAGGAAGATTGCCTCTGAGCTAACGTCTGTACCCAGCTTCCTCTATTTTGTATGTGGGATGCCGCCACAGATGAGCGGTACATCCGTACACCCCTGGATCTGAACATGGGAACCCCGGGCCAGCGAGGAGGAGTGTGCAAACTTAAGCACTATGCCACGGGGCCGGCCCTTCAAAACACTTTTAAGCTTCTATAGCATTCTCTTCTTTTCTGAGGCTGAATGTACATGTATGTTAGACTCTTTGATATTGTCTTACAGGCTCTTTTATTTTTCTTATTTCTTCTTTCTCTAATTCAGACTGGAAAATTTCTATTCATGTGTCTTCATATTTGCTCACTCTTCTTGTATCTTCTATCTGCTGTTAGACCAACGCAGGGGGCATTTAATTTCCACTCTTGTGCTTTTCCGTTCTAGAGTTCTCATTTTTTTCACAGTGTCCATTTCTCTGCTGAGATTCCCTATCTACTCACTCATGGAAATAATATTTTCCTTTAATTCTTGAAAGTTACCTTCCTTTGACCCTTTAACATATTTATCATAGCTGCTCTAAAGTCGCTGTTTGCCAAGACAATGTGTGGACCATCTCAGATTTCATTTCTATTGATTGATTTTTTTCTTTAACTGTGAATAACGTTTTCCTATACGTTTTTTTGTCTAGTGATTTTTTTATTTTGTTTTGGAAATTATGATATGCATTTAGATAGCATGCATTCTATTGTCATTTCCTGACTGTTGATTTTTATTTAGCAGAGAGTCTGTTCCTAAGTATGCACTTGGAACTTGTGCAGGCTTGGTTTTACACTGTGTTCGGGTGGCCCTGAGGAAGGTCCAAAGTGCTTCCTAACCTCTCTACCTGGTGGGACTCAACCTCCAAAATGGTCCCTGGGCAGTCTGGTCCTGGGTTGGCTAGGCTTTGTTAGGGCAGGTCTAGATAGGTCTTCCTGTGGGTGTGGTCCCTCCTCCTCAGGTGTGAATGTGTGGGGTCTCAGTGGGATGCTGGGGGTGTCCACTCTCGGTCCTATAGCAGCTTCTCAGTGTGTAGTCTCTGGAGGTCTTGTCCTGAGGACAGACAGCCCGCCCTCCTCCACAGATTTACAGGAGACTCTACAGACTTCGCACAGGCACTAGCCCCAGGGAGGAGGGGACAGGTGTTGCTGGACTCCAGGGGCTGTGCTCCCTCACCTTGGTGGGCCAAAACAGGGGGTGCAATCACCCGCTGCCAGACTAGGAAACCCCTTGCCCGGTTCCCAAGTGACACCATGGTGACATCTACAGACCACGCAGGTGCCAGTGGGGCTCCCCCGGACATGTCTGGAGTCAGGTCTGCCACAACCAGCTGACACTTGTCCTGTGGCGACCCTCAGGTGCCCTCCATTCGCCCATACACACTGCCCTGAGGCCCCCTTGGTCCTGCTCTGCTCTTTGTGGGGCTGCATCTCTATGCAGGAGGTCTGCTGGCGGTGTTCATCTCACTTCTAAAACAGTAAAGCTTCCTCCAGACTGGAATCCTAGGTCACCTCTCCCAGAAGTTCTCTGGGACCACATCCTTTAGTCCACACTTGTCCTGTGGGTGAGTGGTCTCTGTCTCCTTCCTGTGCACCCTCTAGTGCTTGGCTCCAGCTTGAAGCTCTCAGGACAAGCTCTGATTTCCAGGTGTAACAAGAGCTTGAGGAAGAGGCAATTAGTCATGAGGGGAGAGCCAAGCAAACAACACAGTATCTACATCAGAACCAAGTTCTGGGAGCCAGCCCAGAAGAAGCCAAAACAAGGAAGACAACATCATGTCCCATGTTGTCCACATACCCACAGCTCGGATATAAAGGCCACCCAGGGAAGGAGCCTGCACACATCACCTCCCTTCTCCTTGACACCGGCCCAGCCCCACGCCACCATGTGCGACACCAGCTGCTCCTCAGGCCGCCAGTCGGCCTGCTCTCTGCCCAGCCCCTGCCAGGTGTCCTGCTGTGTGCCCGTGAGCTGCCAACCACCTGTGTGCACGCCTGTGAGCTGCCAGCCAGCTGTGTGCACAGCCATGAGCTGCCAGCCAGCCGAGTGTGCGCCAGTGAGCTGCAGGCCCCCTGTGTGTACGCCCGTGAGCTGCCGGCAAGCTGTGTGCACATGCGTGAGCTGTAGGCCTGCTGTGTGTGTCGCCCCGTCCTGCCAGTCCTTCGTCTGTGTGCCTGTGAGGTACAAGCAAGTTGTCTGCATGGCCCCCTCCTGCCAGCCCTCTGGGTGCTGCCAGCCCTCCTGCCCCACCCTGGTCTGCAGACCCGTCTCCTGTAGCTCCCTTTGCTGCTATTGACCACGAGTCCCTTACTCAGCTGCTCCCAGTGCAGATGGGTGCACATCTGTACCCCTCCCGGAACAAGTCCTCATTGGGCCTCCAGCTTCTGCAGGGCAGATGAAAAGCAGGCTCAATGAACCCTCTGACCTCTGATCTGATTCCTCTGTGACCCTGCCTGTACCCTCAGAGAAGCCCTAGTTCCCAGGGTCCTTCTTTGTCTCCAGCAGGAAACTGAACCCCATGTGAGCCAAATAAATCATGCTTTCCTGATGCCGCTTGTCCCTCTACTTTATCTTCATTTATTTTTGAAGTTCCTCCCTTGAAGGCCTATAGAAATCATAAGCACAGCAGCTGCTCCTGAAAGAGCCCTCTTCCCGATGGCTCAGCTGAAGGTGGGGCCCTGGGTGGGTGGAGGGGGTGAGGAAGGTGCTGTCCCCACTTTGACCCTGTGAAACTTGCATTGTGGTTGGGGAAGGGAAGAGGAAAATTTCCCTCAGCCTGAGCGGGGGACAGGAAACCAGCCTAGGCCCCAGGTCCTATGCAATACCCTAAATGATTGCTAAAAGAGAGAGGGCAGGAAGTTCTCACATAGTCCCACCACAGATACAAAGCAGAGTCTGGCCGTCCCTGAGAGGAATGGCAGAAAGTGAGAAACCCTCACCCTCCACGTCCCAGGCACTCAGGGCCTCCTCAAGACTGACACTGGGAGAGAATGCCAGAGAGCCCTCCAGCCTCCCGACTCACCTGGCCAGCACAGCCGCATGAGCAGTGTCAGTCTCCCCCTGGGAAATGCTGACATGTGTTGAGGTCCCCTCTGTGTGCCAGGCCGGCTGGTGCAGCTGAAAACTTAGGGTGCAGCAAGAATGCTGTGTCCCCAGCCCTGGCCCTAAGCACAAGCTACCAGCAGCCCACCATAAGAAGAATCTGAAGTCCTGGGTACCCTGAAGGTCATCATAATAACAACAAAACCAAAACCATGGTCAATATCTGACCAGGTTGATTCAAACCTCCCCCCACAGACCCTGAGGGCCTGACAAAAGAGACACACCAGTTTCCAGAAGGAAACACTGTTTATGTCCATTTCAATTAATACATGAAATCTGATATTCAATCAAAACTTAGAAGACCTTTGAAAAATCAGGGAAAAATCAGTCCATTGTCAAGAGACAAAGCAATCAACAAAACTGGACTCAGAGATGACCCTGATGTTGGAGCTATCAGAGAGAGATTTTAAAATAACT